CTTAGAAGATTGTTTTCTTGCTTTCAAACTGGTGAAACCTTTCTCCTCTGAAGGTAAACAAAACACCAAAGGCTCTAAGAAAATTCATTTTTTCAAATGAGTGTGTTTGCAAAAATATTTACTTTATATGAAAACATACCTGTCTTCTTTATACTTTATATTATTTACCTCTGCCCTCTTAATGTGGTCATAAATAGTTAATATGAAATGGTGACAGTAATTTGTAGGTGTTGTTGATGATATATGATTGTAATTACACCTTTGCTGCTAGCCATTAGACGCCCGACTCTCTTCAGCCAGCTTACTTCTCACAAGAATGGGAAAAAAGGTGGATTTTCGCAATCCTCTTCTTGGACACACCCAGTCACCAGAACCCAGTGTTTGTAGTAACCAAAAACAAACCTATGTGCACAAAACTCCTCCTCACTCACCGTGTGTGTTCACACTGCCAGGAAATAAACCTGACTGTTATCACTTTTACCCTGCGGTGCCCTTTAATGTTTGGTTACGTCACTGAACCCACTGAGCACTAAGAGCTGCAATTCATAAAAAAAAAACGTTTTTTTTTATCTCTATGTGAAATATCTGGTCAATCTGTTACATTTGTGAAACATGACCACAACATGTACAGTATGATAGACATATGGGCTGTTTTACTTTTAAAGTTGGCAACAAGAATCAATGTAGACCGTGTGGAACAACTATTTGAGAAAAGAACACCACAGATTTGAGTTTATCTGCAGGACTGTCATCCTGAGACTTAGTCAAAGGTAAGGAGACTGAAGCATTCAGTCAGCAAAACACAGCGCTTGTACTAAGCAAAAACAAACCTGTGTACACAAAAGAACTCCTTCTTACTATTGCCAGGAAACAGATGTTAAAAAGATCTGACACCCACTTCACTATTTGGTTATGTCACTGAACCCCCAGAGCATCTTAGCAATGGGCTTCATTTAAACCAAGGGGTTTGTTATTTATGATTCTGTTGGAGGTATAATGGGTTTGGTCCAGTTTGAGGAAACAGTTAAAGAGTTTTCAGTTGACGTAGCTGAAATGATTCACTGCCTGCATTCAGCAGATGAATAAGAACCAGAGAAAGGCCTGTTCCACATAATTAAGACAATGTTCTTCACGGTGTTGGAGGGAGAGACGGGTGTCCCTTTGTTTGAATGCAGGAGGTCATTAGAGTGAAAACAAGACACAGACATAAAGTCAGAGGGAAGATATGATTCAGGAGAGAGAGAAGGAGGAATACTTCTACAGTGGATCACTTTTATTACACTGACCTACTAAAGACAATATACTTTTCAACAGCACAACCATGACTCCACTGCAGAGATGCCACATGACTACCTCGCAGTGTATTCTTCGTTCGTCCCAACACAGAACAGAAGAAATTACACACGTGTAAGCCAGCCTTTGTGGTACAGCTTAGTCACATGATGTGTGTGAAGGGGGGACGGGGAGGGGTGGGATCACATGTTCTCAAACAACTGTGGAAGTTATCCAGCTGAGCTACTTCCTGCTCCCTCGATCACATGAGGATTCATTCACATCATTCGGCCTGTAAGTGCCCCTGCAATATAAATGACGGAATATCTGACATTGGTGAGAGCAGACAGCGGAGTGTGAGTGGGTTTTCACTTCCAGACCGGCCCAGTCTAAACCAGGACGACTGAAAAAGGCATATTTCCAATATTCTCTGTCTTTTGGATAAACTAGACCATTTTAGGCAATAGCCCTTCTAAATGCAAGGTGATAATCTGCCTCCAGTTTTCCTGCACCGAGTTAACAATGTACACATTTAAAGAGTGTTTTGAACAGCTGGCATTCCAACTGTGTAAAGAGATATTGTAAACAGGGAGTCAGAAATAACTCAGACTTCACATGAGCAGTGCCTTCAGATGAGCCAAGAACATCTCTGGGAGAGGTTGTTTGCTTAATATTTGATAATTGTGTCAACTTTCAGAAGCATTAGAAATAAACAGAACATTCCAAGTGCGAGTGAACAGGCTGTGATCAAGGAAAAACCCTGCTAGTCATGGGAAGGTGGAGTTAAAAATGAGAATGTATTAACAAGTACCAGGGCGCTGCTGGGGTGTAAGATATACTGCCACCCTTCTGCTGTGAAAGGGTCCATTTTGGGTTGAGATGAGAGTCCCGTCCTGTAGGAATGCGGTGCGGTTGCAGCGTTTGTGTAGACAGGGTGTGTGTGAGGAAAATAACTGAGAAGGAGGAGTTGAGCTGAGATAGACAGGGCTTAAAGATTGAGGCCTCGTCATCTTTTAACGTACTGAAGATGTCAGTCCAAAGTATAGGGATGTGTTTTCTTATAAATACTGCTTTTCTGCACATCATCATGGTGAAAGTTTGTATGACCTATGACCTTTTATATTATGAACCTATTATAGATACAAAACGTATTTTGTCTAGTTTCCCTAACATAAAAACTTCATTAAAATGGGTCTCCAAAGAATAACAACAGAATAAACTAGCTTAGTGAGCAGCCTCCACAAACGCAGTGACCTACATGTTGATCTAAACTAATGTGTTGCCAAGAATTTGCGTCTACAGGCGATCTGCTAGGATTGCTATGGTTGCCAAAATAGAAAAACTAAAAGATGAGTTTGTGGTGCGACGTGGTGTGTGACAGAGTTGTAGCTTTGGGTTGTCTATGTTTACAGTCAACTGAAGAAAAGAATCAACACAAGGACAGACATAAAAACACAGAAAGAAGGATAGATGGGGGATGGAAAGTTAAGAGTGAGAGCGAGCAAAGTGGATTAGATGTGTACACCAACGAACACTGTGGCCTGATAAGCTGCAGGAGGGTTGGACATGCTGCCCTACTGTAGTAATGTTATGACTCACACACAAACTCCCACTGGCTGCATGCTCAAAATATAAATGCAAGCATGGAAGGCAAACAAGGCAAAACATAAGCTGACATACCAGCACGTTATCGAAAAGAAGAAGACGCCAACTAGTGATTATGAAACTTTATTCAGTATCTGCTGTGACAGAGGAGCTCTTATTCACCAAGCTGATCAGAGAACTAGTCAGCTCTTCATTTTTATAATAAAATCGCTTCATCTCTCTCTGTAAGCTATTTTAATGCCAACTGACAATATTTCACTGGACCAAACAGAACACAGTTAAAATAGTGCACACATGCACACAAACAAAGACGTTGGTGTTTCTCTTTTTTGATTATAAGTTTGGTATCAGCTCAGAGTTTCACAGGTGTAGAAAATATATAATTTCATCCCGAACACCTTCTACAGCCATTTCAGGCTCAATCAGAAGACAGCTGTTGGCTGAATGCATGCAGCTGCAAACAATAGAATGTATGCTGCTGAAGACTGCAATAGTGCTAGTGTCTCTTTTATGTCTCCCCCTGTACATGCATTTGTGTGGTCTGGTCTACAGCCCTAAAATGTGCCATTATACCCTTCAACAATAAGTTTGCTCTTTTAGAAATCTCCAGTGACTGTTATGTGAAGGGCAGTAACAACTCAACTACCAAGTTCAATTGCAACAGCACAAGGGGCGTACATGTGTGAGTGGTAGGTTTCCTCTTCCTATAAACTGACATTTTTTCTTTTTACCAAGAAATAGTGGGGCCCTTCTTTCCGTTGTAGGCCACAGTAAATTCAGTTAGATAAAAAGTCATTTTTCTGCATTGATTTACAGCTGTATTCTCTAGTCCAGATGAGCACTTGAAGCATTTCACACTTCAAGTTTGACTTCTTACCAAACAACAGTGCCAGTGGGGGCAGGATGTTGATTAACAACAGTCCTGTTGACAGATGACTATTCCACTAAACAGTAAAACCTGAGCGTACAGCAGACACAGGACTGACATACGTCAAAGAGATGCATAGATCAACTGAATCAATCAGTAAAGCTGAAGCTAACTTAAGTGGTGTCAATTCTTGTGAAAGACTTGTAAACAACTTGTCAACCACAAGCAGTACTTCATTTTAGAGCAACTCTCATGAGACTAGTTGCTGACTGAACTAGTCAGATTTACTGATTTGAAATCCAGATTTTATAGGGGTGTAAAGTAGACACTATAAAGGTGAACACTTATAAGCTTTACAAAGTGGTGACAAAATTACACACAGCTGATAAATCAAATCCTAGAACCTATCTACTCAAACAAATACAGAATCACAAACATGGGATCACAAGGGATAATATATGTTGACCATGTGTAGAAACAGATTTCTCTCTCATGTAAAGATACGGGAATGTACGACTTAACAGGACTCTGTTTCTTAACTCTGTTTCTGTTTGATACTTTGTCATTATGAATATATTTGTTCTACTACACTTTGCGTTTAATCATGTTTTTTGGTGACTTTCTTTCTTTTCTTTCCTCCTAACTCTTGTTTAAACATGTAGAATTACATTTTGTACTGTCAGATGCATGTAAACATGCATCAGAAGTTATTTTTTTATTTATTAGAAAAATCCCATGTTTTATTTAAGAAATTATTCAGAGATAGACAATAGGGCACAATGGCATGTTGTGACTATTTTGAACTGCATGGTGAAGTAAAAAAAAGTTGTGCACTTACTCCAAAATGCAGCTAGAAGGTTTCATTCTGACAACATGTACATCTAAACCAAGCATTAGCGCTTCATCTCTCTCCTGTTTTTCTCTCTCTCCCCCTCACTCTCTCACACACGCAGTCTCAGAGTGTTGCTGCTGCAGCTGCATGCCTGCCCTGTGTTTATTTCTGGAAGCTCACAACATGGCCGACATGTGCTTTGTTATTGTTAGTACAACATCATCCCTGCTGGCCTATAGGGGCCGTTTATTAGCCACATCCCCTCCAATACAACATGGTGGACTCCTAGAAATAACAGCTGGAAAATACATTTCATACGAATGCAATAAAAACGAAAAAAACGAGTATAAAAATGCATGTCATTGTTAACATTGTCATTCTTATTCCCACCACCTTCCGTCTACTCCTTCTCCATACACTCACCATTTGATGATGATGGCCGTATGGAGTATTTGTTTCTTGAAAAAAGGCACTGAGTGCAGTCTACAACAAAAACACAGAGAGACGAGGTTAAATTATTATCATTATAAGATGTATCAAAGTAGTGGCAATCGCACCTCTTAAAAACGCATTTAACCATTTCAGTGTTGACATTAACCACAGAGATAACAGAAACACGATACAATAACGTTCTAAATACTCGGTGTGCTCCGTTTAAAATACTATAGCCGTCTTCTTAATTGCGTAATAACAGGACTTGGCCTCGCCTGTTCGTCGCTGTCATGTGTCGGATTACAGTATTTAATCTGGAGTAAAGTCTAATTGGATATGCAGGCTGCTGCATGGCTGTGTATCCGTGTCCCACTTGTTTAGATTGGGGGTGCAATATATATCTGAAATAATGAAATGACATTCAAAAGTACACCGTTGTTACGCGAAAAAAGGGGAAGTGGTAACTAACAGTAACGCTTTTGTGCTTGTTGCAGTGGCTTTTAACAAGGGAAGGCTAAGCTACCGATCGGCCAGACATAAACATGATGTCTTCGTATCAAGTTAAAAATATGCATACTAAATAAAAGGGTGTATTGGAGATTTCCATTTACCTCGAACTGCCAGTGTGCCGCCTGCAGGAGTTGCTTCGCCTGGTCTGCCGCACAACCCGCCGTCAGGACGAACTGGTTAATCATGACTTGATGTTTAAGTTCATCCATTTTCGACGAAGCCCGTTGTCCTAAAGTCGTGGCGGCTGACACACTCGAAGCGGACTCTTTTCAGTCGTTAATCCTCTTCGTTTCCCTTTCCTTTTCTCTCCTTCTCTTTCTTCACAATACTCCGCTCCCCTGCCTTCAGTCGTCCACCATTACAGCCGGTTGAGCAAACACAAATATTTACTGTAGGAGCGGTAGTGGAAGGAACGTGGCGTGATTGACAGAGACCGTTAGCCAATCAGGAAGTTGCGCTACCCATGGGTGGGACTTATGTTGTGGCGCAAGCGGATGATCTCGTGCGTTCTTCAGTCGATTTAAATTTGACAGTTTAAAACGTTTCATATCGAAACTGTTTCGCCTCCAGTTCTGCTTTATTGACTTTTCATTGAAAAGTTCACGTGGCGTCCACGGCACAGAGAGCGAACACGTACTCATCGAAGCTTCCTGTCCTCCGTGAGGAAAAGGGTTTTGTTTTGGACTACAATTCCCGCGACCTCCCGCTTTGTTTGTTGAGGTGCAGAAAGGCAGACTTTTGTGAATGACGGGTGCTCTCGTCCAATTCCCTCGCTGCGCTCTGTCACCATCTTTCCAAATATGGTAAACAAAATTCACTGCCGCCAATTACATCGCTGCGAGTGAAGTTTTGGAACAGACCACTGCTGAACATGGCCACTAATGTTCACGATGACTTTGCCCCTACTTACATGCAAACTGTCTTTTTTTTTACACTTAAGCACTAAATTGTTTCCCGAAGACTAAATCGTTGCTGCCTAGTGATACACATTTTAGTCCTATGGCCTGGATGTATAATTTGCCAACACATTATCAAAACAAAACTTAACTTGTGTAAAATAGCTACTAAATCAGCTGCGGTTTGAAAAAAAAAAAGTAACATCTTTAGTGGGCAAGACATAGGAAGCTGTGAAGTAGACAACTGAGTAGAGATTTATAGACCAAATTTAAAATGAAAATCCATTGCTGCTAATACACTACAGGAAGAGGGATAATTATTGTGAATATAAATGTATCAATTATAATCAAATATAAACAGAGTCTTCCTATTTATGCTAGTGTTTTTACATTTATGAATGTCCTACTATCAAAGTTCAACTTGTTTTGAATTACTTATGTGAGTCAGTCAGTCATCTAACAGGAAATGGTGGTTTCAACATCAGCTTCACAACTGGCTGTTTGCCATTTAGCCTTTGGGTCGCTCAGAATTATGGGTAACTGAGCTGTAAACATTGCTTCGTCAAAGGCGTATGTGGCAGCTTTAGCAGTGCATATTGAAGTATGAAGGTTAAATGGAGACCCCTGCTGGTTATATAATGCGCTTGGAGGAAATACTTATATACGCCGTGCTGGGTGATATGAGGTCATTGACATTTAGGGCAATACAATCTTTACATTCATATTACTCTGAGGTTGCCTGTTAATTTTCTTATGTGACCTTTGGTACTTTAGTTAACTAAACAAATCTGTTTGGTGCTGTTTGAGTAAACCACATCCATTGTTAGGCATGACATAAATATGACAAAGACCTTATAGAGTACAGGTAAAATGATCCAAAAGTTTGCCATAATCTCATAAAAAAGATAATCTCAAGTGATCTCAAAAAAGGCTAAATGTTAACCAGAAAGTTAAAGATAAGTGAGGGTTAACCTAAAAGTTATAAAAACCATTGACAGCATTACTCATAAATGTTGGCATATAATTAACCAAAACAGCTACGCAAACATAGCTAAACAAAAGCAAAAGACAAAACATTACTAAACACTAACCCAGATAATGCTAAAAGGTAGTGAGCTGCAATAGCCAAGATGACTTTTTTTAAATAGTTGTTTAAAATAGACCTTTTATCTTAATCTTTACTAACCATATATATATAGTGTATAATTGAAAAGGTAAAAAGTCATAAAACATAAGCTAAAAGCTAAAAAAAAGTACCTGAAAGTTAGCAAAGAATTGGCCTAAAGGATAGCAACATGGTTCCCAAAAGTAACCAAAATATAAGAAACTTGGTTAAACAAAGCCTACACCGTACCTTAGTGCATAAAGAGCATGGATACATGGTTATGTGACATTAGATGCTGCTAATATTGTGTGTCAAAAAAATAGATGGTGTCTTATGTCTATCTGTTTGTCTCAGTGTTTATAGTTTTTTTATTGGAGGACATACATTTAAAGACATTCTCAATTAAGATCCTTCTAAAGGTTAATAGTGCTATTAGCAAGAAATACATAGTGCTTTATCGGGCTCCAGTACTGACTTTCTGCTCACTAGTTGCAATGTTTCATACTGTGTGTGAGCACAGGGACTGTTGAAGTAGGGAGAAAAGCTAGGGAACAATAAGAGCAGCTGTTTAAACATTTACCTGTCTCAGTAGCAAACCCTTTTGTCAAGACCCTGAACAAACCCGGAGACGTTTTAAAAATCTAACCTCCTTGACAGGATGCAACAGCTGGCCTGACGGATGCATGGCTGTGAAGTGTTGAACAGCAGAGGTGTCTTTTGCCACTCATCCTTTTCTTAGTGTTCAGCAGTGAATATTAGACAATGCCAGACCACAAAGGCAAATGTATTCATAAACTGTTGGGGGAGAAAAGAAAGATGGATGTAACAACCTCAGGTTCAAAGAGATAGGACCAACATTTAGCATGTGTGTGGGCAACAGTCCCTTAAAAACAAACGATTATTTCTTTCTGAATAAACTTAACTATTATGTTGCAGCTTCATGTGCTTACGCCTTGTTTTTATTAAGTGGAAACTACACTTCATAAACATAGAGGAAAACAACACGTTGAATACATTATATTTTATTAACGCAGTCTGAAATGGATGATTTTCTTTTTTGACTTTTAATAGGATATTTTAATCGCTCTGTGTAGCAGTTCGGTAGTAATCCACTGTGTGGCAGTGTTTCCACATAATTCACGCAAACGACGCTGTGATCACAAACGGTGAAGATGTTAAACAAAAAAGTATGTAAGAAACACAACACTATAAAACGAATTATTATACATTTTAATGCTTCTGTTATGCATATTTTTACTTTATATGTATAGGAGACATACGAATAATATTAAGAGATGTGTTTGTTTGTCTCGGGTGGAATTAATATCTGAAGTGTTTGGAAGTTAGTGGGTCACATGACAGAAATAGTGAAGAAAGGACGTACATTTTTTTTACTATATTCAAAACAAAGAAAAATCCATCCATCCATTCATTTACATCCGCTAATCAGTTACCAAGTCGCAGGGGCAGCAGTCACATGACCGCCACCCAAATCACACTGTATGCACCGTACCAACCCCCCTGAACCTTCCTGCGGGTGGTGAGTCCACTGGAAGGTGAACAAAAATCCAATCAAATTTTCAATTAAATCTGTTCTTTATTTACAATAGTATAAGGAATGGGCGTCTGTTTGGAGTGACCGGGTCACATGTTGCATAACGTAGACCACGCTAAAAACGATACATTTAAAATGTATTCGTAGTCCCTACATTTAAAATCAAACCCATTTAGAACGGATATCAACAGAAAATGAAAATTGTATGTGTCATATTTATTTTGGAGATAATTATTTGTTTTAAGGTTGATGTTTTGTGTACGAAAAATCACTTTCACTTTAGAATCCTCTAACGCTTTTCTTTTTTGCAGGTGCAAAAGTGCGCAACTAGCGGGACCCGTGGCGCCACCAGGGTGACAAAGGTGGAGGTGGAGGAGAAAGAAGAGTCGTGCAGAGTTCATGTTTCACACCAACATGGAGATTAAAGACAGAGTTTCTGTGTGACAGCACTGAAGTTCACAAAGCAAAATACATTAAAATGGAAGCGATATAAAAGTGGAAAGAACTACAGTTCTGAAATTCTATCGAGCACTTCATGGTACACAGTACAAAACAAAACGGGAAAAAGTGGTTGGTGCTATTGCCTCCCTGTATGTACTGTATGTTGTCTCTCTGTGGTGGTGAACTGTTGTGATTGGATCCAGCGACCTCAGAAATGATTAAGTGGAACAATATAAATTAATGTAATTCCAAACTCAGGACAACCTGAAGGAAGATGACGCACACTGGAAGCACGTGGTTTGGTCTACTTAAATGACACGTTTTAGTATGTATTATAAATATAATATAAAACACATCAATGAGAATGCAGCGATGTTCAGATTTATTCATGGTATTGGATCTCAATAAAGCTGGGCTGTCAGATTTGTTTGTCTGTAAAGTAAATCTGTGAAAAGGCATCACTGTAGCACCTGCCGCTGAAATGTGTGTGTAGGCCAGTGATGGAAAGGTGCGTGAATGTTTGTGTGTGTAACAGAGAGAGAGTGAGAGAGAGAGAGAGAGACGCAGCCAATCAGAAGTCCCCCCTGGCAGTTAAAGGGATGGTGGGCAGTCTCTCGGGCTTTAAGAACCACTTGTTTTACGACCTTCACGTATCTTCACGTCTTATTCACCTCCTACAATCACACTGGTTCACGGACTGCAGGATTTAAAGTCGGACTGGTGTGGAATGTATCTGCCCTAACTTCTCCCCGTCTTTACCTCGAGCTGAACTACTACTGAACATCGCGCTCCTCCCGCGGCACTTGTTGCGCAGAGACCAGATGCGCTGCTGACAGAGGAGAAGAGAGGAGACTAGAGGGGAGGAGAGGAGAGAAGGAGAAACCCTCTGCAACAGGTGCACACGGAGCATCTCCTGCAGAGAGGCTGCACCCGAGGTAACAGGATTATCATGTTTGCTGTTTGTGGCTTTACGTTCAGACTTCTTTTACACACGATGGATGCGTATCACATACATTAGGGTTTATTTGTATTGTGTATAAGAGGGAATACATATGCAATTAATAACTAGGTGTTTTTGTTGTTTTTGTTTTAGGACATAATACAACTTTAAATGCTGATCTGAACATTCTCTGGTTGTCTTCAGATCCTAATCGTTGCGCACAGAACCAGGATGCCGGTCCTGACGAGCCCAGACATCGCCAACAAGTTTAAGGAGAAATGGATGGCGGTCTACCCGGAAGACCAGGTACAAGGTCCCGACTCTATCCCTATGGACGACAGTCTCACCAGTCTCCACTGGCTCCAGAATTTCTCCATCCTCAGCGCGGACCCGGAGCGACCTGCCGGCCTCGGACCGGGGTGTCCGTTCTCTCAACAGCAACTCTTTCTCAAGAGGCTCGGTTTCCCCACAGGAGGCACAGACTCTCCTTCCAGCCCCCCGGCCGGGGACACCGCAGCTACGGGGATGCCTTTGTACCTCGGGAGCCCCGTCACCTCCGGCAGCGACTCCACGGCGGCACCGCGCTTCGCCAGCTGCGCACGGTCCGCGAACGGCTACCCGCAGATCCCCATTCAGCCGAGTCCTCCTGCCGAGGTCGACTACAAAACTAACCCTAAGGTTAAACCGCCCTATTCCTACGCATCTCTCATCTGCATGGCCATGCAGGCCAGCAAGCAGCCCAAAGTGACACTGTCCACCATCTACAACTGGATCACGGAGAATTTCTGCTACTACAGACACGCGGAGCCCAGCTGGCAGGTAACCGAGCCCGGATGGGTGTCCTTCTATTATTAATGAGTCAGAGAAATGACGAGGTGAGGTGAGGGGGGGAAAGGGTAAGCATTTGACTCCAGTGTCAACATTAGACACCATAAGTTCTTCGAAGGGGCCTTTTGTGGCCTACATTAGGATGAACATGTCAGGAGATGGAGGTGAAAATGATTCCAAAAAATAACATCGAAAATAATATGTCATCTTTAAAGAGATGCTGATTTCTCCATGATTACAATTCTGCTTCCATTCAGTTTTTAATGCAATGCGAGAGTTTGACATTTCCATCTTTTTGTCTAAGGGGAATGGTGATGAAGCAAGAGAAAGCAAGTGTGTGTGTGTGTGTGTTAATGAGGGCTCCTGAGAGAGATGGCAGCTAAGCACAGCTGATCATGTTTGAAATGCACAGAGCTGCCCGTTACTCCTCAGTCTAATTAGGTACATTTGCTCTCCTATATAAACAACAATACACACCCGCCTCCTCCCGTCCTCTCATCTGGTCTCCTTCACAAAGACAAAGTGGCCTTTGTCGCAGCTCTGGACCAATGGAGATTTTACTTGATATGTTTTCTTTGTTTCCTTCTTTTCTCATTGTCACAGAACTCCATTCGCCACAACTTGTCCCTCAACAAGTGCTTCAAAAAGGTCCCCAGACAAAAGGACGAGCCGGGGAAAGGAGGCTTCTGGCAGATTGATCCTCAGTATGCTGATATGTTTGTCAATGGTATCTTCAAACGCAGGAGGATGTCTGCTAACCAGTACAGCAGCAGCAGCGTTGGCACACAGAGACAGAGCAAACTGGTCCAGGGTTATCACAGCCCCCAAAATGGCTGTGACTACCAGACGGTGGGCGGCAAACGGAAGCACCTCCCCTCCTCAAACAGCAACAAGGTGATGAGGTTCACAGAGTCTCCACTTTTAGGCACAGAAGCCCGTAGAGCTGACATCCTGAGGGGGGACTTTGACTTGGCTTCCGTGTTCGACGACGTTCTCAGTGGGGATTGTAGCACCTTTGAGGATTTGGACATCAACACAGCGCTGAGCTCCCTGGGTTGCGAGATGGAGGTTTCCATGCAGGGGCGGCAGCAGCACACAGCAGGTCTGGGGAGGTGGTGTGGTGGAGGCGACCTCACCGGTGCAGGTGAGAGCCAGCACCTGAGTCATCATCAGTCCTACGGTTATATGGACTTAAGTGCTCCTTCAGTGGAGTTCTCAGTCAATCTGGGAGAGCTGCGCAGCTGTCACAGCAGCAGCAGCAGCAGCAGCAGCAGCAGCAGCAGCAGCAGCAGCAGCAGCAGCAGCAGCAGCAGCAGCAGCAGCAGCAGCAGCAGCAGCAGCAGCAGCAGCAGCAGCAGCAGCAGCAGCAGCAGCAGCAGCAGCAGCAGCAGCAGCAGCAGCAGCAGCAGCAGCAGCAGCAGCAGCAGCAGCAGCAGCATCAACTGGACCAGGATCAGCTGCTTCAGAGCCACAACCAGCTGCAGCAGTTCGACGAGCCCTCCTCGCTGTTCCCAGAGCGACCTGAGGAGGCGATGCTGCAGCCCTGGGAGGAAATCAAAGAGGAGGCGCAGGCAATTCCACTGACTCTGGATCAAGGCTTTGGTCTGTGTGAGGGATTCTTCACAGAGATGCAGCCATGGGAGAGAGTGGAGGCTTTTCTGTGACTCTGAGCCCAAATCTCCCTGACTCTTAGAAAACTAGGCCAGTTATCCAACTGTAGTGGGTAACACTGAGGACTGAGAACTAGAGGTGTATCAGCATGCCTTCCAATCATGGTCATGTCAAAGGTGTCTTGAGCTTGAACTGTGAAACCAGCCAACAACATTCCTCTAAAAATGACTCTACAGTATGGGAGCTAACATGATTAAGGACCTGTATTCTCTGTCAGGTGGAGGACGATAAGGGTGTGTTTGCACTTGTCTTGTTTGGTTCGATTAAAACCAACGTAAACCCAACAGCATTAGTCTCACTAATGCAGTTCAGTTAAACATGTGTGAATCCAACCACCCACTCCCAAAACCCTGGGGTCTGACCTGCTTCAATACAGTTTTGGTGATCTGTGTATGTCATACTGACCAAACAACATCTCACTCCATCATAAACACAACAAATCACCGAAAAAAGAAACTGTCCAATCAGATGCAGGCCTCACCCATTTGACTTAATAAATCCTGTGGCAAAAGCGAGTCACAAGTGGACCAAACTAAATGTGTCATTTCCTGCTTCAGTTCACACTGAGCTGTGTAGAGCTGGGACATTAAAACTTTGTTTAAACTAAATTTAAGTTTTGTCCAGAACGACAACGTCAGGATGTAACAACAAAGACAAACAGCTGAACCTTGCGCAAATGGAAATGTGTTAAGTTAAAAACAACAACAACAACATGTACATAAAGAATATGAACATAGACTCACCTGTGAAGGAGCTGGTGATGAGACACCGTTGTGAGCTGTGGCAGCAACTGGAGAAAACAAACAAAAACACTTCCTCAGTAAAAGTAAACAGTACAGTAAGACACTATTTTTGCTACATTATCAGCTAACGTTTTTTACTAACCCGCAGTGAAATCATCATGTCAGCTTCATGATGATGAAGAGGGAAAGGAGAGATGAGAAAGTCTGAGATTCGAAAACAACCACTTACATAGTCAATCTAATATATATGATACACACACATATATATATATATATATATATATATATATATTTACTAAGGTGTATAGGGACAGTGGCAGGGGTGGGTTGCCATTTGTCTACAGTTATGTATTGCAAAGCAAAAACTAAATGAAGGAGCTGAAATCAAACATTATGCACTTTGATAGGCAGCAGTTTTAGGAAATGACAGCTTTTTTATTGGAAAATGGTGGGATTTTTAAAAAATAAGTTTACTGACCATAACGTATGATGCATACATATATGCTGTAACTGGGGTTTCTTTAAAAGAATGAACTGCAATAAGTTGAGTTCCCTATATCATTTTTCACTTTCTAGATTTAAATATTTACATATATACATATAAGAAGAAGGAAATGTGTTGGTTATAATTTGCCATAATTTGTCGATCAAGAATATGCAGTTTTTTTTGTTATATTTGTTTTGATTATTGATTTTTAAAAAAAGAAGACGGTAGCATTTTCTGTCACTGGGTGATGGATCTTTTTTGTCATTATTAACTTTAGTGTAAATGTAATTTTTTCTAAAGGGGGGTGGGTGGGTGGTTGAATGGGTTCTTTCCACCAATCTGCGTTTTACATGGTGTATGAGAATAACAATGGCTGGGTGTGGGTAGAGAAGTGATGAGCAGAATCATAATTCTTACTGTTTAGACCAGATTCTTTTCTTATTGTATCATATTGATCAAGTTTGCTACAAACCCTTTTTGATCTTACCTTGTTGTTTTTTATTTTTACTTTTAGTTTAAAAAACCTGTTTCAAAATGCAATCATGCCTCGATGCAATAAATTGTGTCAAAATAAAAAATGGAGAACAATAACATAATCATGTTTCCTTGAGTTTCTATGGTTGAAAAAAAAAAACAACTCATGAAGGAATGCAAAAGTACTACAGTGTGGTGGAGAGTACTGCTGCAGCAGCAGGACATGTCCATCAGGGTTTATTATTAATCTGTAGGAACAAGTCTGAACTTGCTGGGCATTAGAGGTCAAACATACAACACACGCTCTGAAAGGGTAGGATCCACCAGTGTATGGGCTAGTGAATACTATGGGTTGGTTTTTACATTGTTGGAAAACACAATGTTTCTCTTGGTCAGAGTAACTTAAAAAAATAAAACAATTCATCATCAGGAGGCTAGGTGTTTTGGTTAGGTTTTAACCCAGTTTTATTGAAGTACTCTATAATATACTAGAACTAGATGAAAATATTTAAAGACAAACAGTAGAACTCCTAATACTTTTATATTAGGAAAAGTGATCAGCTAAAAATGGCAAAAACAGATCACTGAAAGAGCAACTTGTTTTTCCAGAACATCCCAGATAAACAGTTAATTAAAAATGGAGATATTGTTGCTAAATAACTTTTTATTCATGGGGAATAAAATGTATGAATTAATTAAATTCATTTTAAACAACAGTTTTTATTCTGAACCTTGTGCTAGCATTGCTGAACAAGTTAACACGCTAACTATGGCTAAAAACATGAAAACTGTAAAATATCTAGTATTTAGATACCCAGTTTTCTGGAGAGGATTATAACCATGAACATTTTATTTCCTATTGTTATCTGTGCAATATCTGCTGACATTTCCTTCCAAACCACAAACCACGTGGGATCCCTGTAAGATAAACTGTGGTATCATCAAACTCTCCAGGATTTGTCCCCTGAGGAGCATCAATGTGCTCGAACCACAGTATTACAAGTGAGAGAAGAGTATTAACCACAAGTGGCACTAAATTAATATTCACTAAATGCAGTTTCAGCCCTGGAGCTTCTACGCAAAACACCTCAGTCTGGGGCTACAGCTATCATCCTCATCGTAGATAGCATATTTTAGTCAATCCATCATAGAAGCTTTTCCATGGATGACCATGCACCATCGATGCTGGATTTAGAGTCAGAGATTTCCAAATACTACATCACTAACACAAACATAAGTTTAATAAATAATAACGATTTCTCCTAAAACATGGTCACATTGGTGCAGAGTTTGTACCTAAACAAGACACTCGCCATTTTATTTCAGCATTTCCATGCAAATAGGCAAGAAAAGTCAGGAATCAGTAACGAAAATAGCCCTTAAACCCCAGCATCACATCTCATCTCAGTCATTTTCCAGGATTTTCATTTCACGGCTTCTATGAAAATGTGCTTTTCTGCCACAAATCTCTTTTTAATTGAAATTGTTGTGGGAAAAATGGGGAGAAATGCGGCTTATCCCTCTATCCTGCACGGTCATGTGTAGAGATCTGCAGCAATGAGTGAAATAACTGAGATTCTTACAAACAGCAGGGTCCAGGCCAGATTCAGGGCTGAGGCGTGCAGCCGTTGACAGCCCTGTGTCCGGTTAATGAAGAGAATCGCTCCAGCTGACAGAACGGCAGATCCTGTTACAGCTGTGGGTCATTTAATCAGTATATATTAGCCTTCAGTTGACCTCTGACCTACATATGCAAAAGTGACAATTTGGCTAAGGCATCACAATCAACCAAGTGAGTTTTCATGACTTTGAAACCTACTGGAAAACGTGAAATATTTTTCATTATCTAACACATGGTCACTTGATTATGACCTTTTACAGTAGACCATAAAACTGACTCACCCTCCACTGCAGACTGGCTCGAGGACAACAGTCCAGTTAAATAACCGGGTCACAGTTGTGGCTTTACCCCAACATATAACCGCCTATTGAACTGTGTATGTATATGTATTGAAAGTCAAGTTGGAAGCCAAAAAGGCATCTGTTACCCTACTAAGTGTGTGTGTGTGTGTGTGTGAACTTTCACACTTGTCTCTGTTTGTCTGCTGCCAGCTTGTGTGCACTTGTTGCATTGTGTGCTTGTAAGGTTGGTGTTGGTCCGCAGGTTTTTTTCTTTTGTCTGCACTTGCGCTGATGTGTGCACTACCCACTGAGTGTGTGTGTACACGACGGCCATCGGAGCCCCGTGGCGGCCCAGATAACACTATCTCTGTGGAGCCAGAGCCCCGCGGTTCTATTCAACAGTGGTGGATGAGAGGCTGCGACGGCGCAGCAAGCGGATCTGCTCAAAGAAGGAGGAACAAGCTGGGCTGTCACTGTAGGCTAACTGGGCTTATAATGCTTTATAACCTGCTCTGCTGCTGTCGCTGTGGGGGGCTTTGCATCATCCTCTGTGCTTCTGCACCGTTAGCATTAGGACGGTTACACACAAGAGGAGAGGAGCACCAGCAGAGACAAGAAGAGGGAGCATTCTGTCGTTTATTGCCATCATGGCACCCTCTGGACAGCTCCTGATTAGAGTCAGGCACAAACAGGGGTCAGTCAGCTTTGCTAAAGGAGCCCCCTTCCCAGCGTGGCACAGACACTGAGTCACTGGACTCAACAACCAAAGGGGGTGGGGGCAATGGGCTATTCTTGAGGGGCAGAGCAGATAGAAGACACATGACGGGGGTCCCTAAATAATTAGATCCTCCATTGTTGCACAAAGAAAAATGTGGCAGCGGTAAACGCCCTAAGTCTATTTTATGGCCCCTGAGGAGCCCCTGAGTGAGTGCGATTACACCAACAGGTCGAGAGTTAGATCATGCTGATGAAAGAAATTTCCTTCAGTGGTGCAAATAATCAGACACATATATCAGACAAGAGCCTCCAGTATTTGGAGTCACCTTCACCTCGTTCTCCCTGGGAAATCTAGTTCATCTCTGGTTTCCTAGTCCTCATCACATATTGATAAGGGGAAAAAGACAGGGATGATATTGGAAGTGGAGAAGCATACATTCATGTCTCAGCAGACTGCTGCGACAGGAGGGGCTACGGCAGGAAATACACCTAATTTCGGCTCCTGAAAAGACGGCTGTTTATGCATGAAAATGCTAATTAGGTTTCCATTTAGATTGCCTGTTGCATTTTGAAAAGGGAGAGGAGCTGGGAAATTACAATAAAGGCACGTCAGTGTGGAACAGTCAGGGATTTATTAAATTTCATTAACACAGATTAAAAAATGTTAGCTGCCTGTGAACACAATGAAATAGTGTTTCGTAAAATGTGTTTCAAAGTGCTTTGACCATGACTTGTCATGATTTTGGTGCTCACATTAGTCTGTGCTGAGGTTATGGCTACAAATACAAACACTAGGCTAAAAATACTAACATTTCTCCATTCTGCTTTTTACTTGATTTGATATGTTTTTAGATAATATTTAGCTATTTTTGTTTCACTTCTTGGTAGCTATTTAAGTTGTATTATTTAGTATATAATTATTTGGTCAATTTTTGCATTTTTTGAATAAAGTGTTCCTTCCTAAATAATAGTTAAGCAGTTTTGAACTTGTCTTTTCTCTCAAACGTTTACATTTCTAGGCTAACTTTTAGCAATCTTCCTCTTTGATACTATGGCTGTATTACTGTAAAATAATTGTATCTCTTTCTAAAAGAAGTATTGTCTTGGTGTGATGCTTAATACTTGAAGGTTAATTATTTGCTATCCCCTGGTTATCTTTACCTCACTATTTAAGAACTGGACAAACTGAGACATGTCTGAACCATTTTCCTACAAACCAAGACCTTATTTGAGTTTGCTTGGCATCAGACATCATCAGCTGTATTATAAATGGAGTTATTGTTCAGATGAGCTTTTAGTCCTACAAATGCGGAATAGAAAAAAAAACTGTACAGCCACACATAGAGACACTGCAGTTTCGTCCACAGTTTTGATGTGCTAATGTTATTTATTCAAAGCATGCAGACAAATGCTAGGCTGCAAATGAGTGCAGACAACGGCACATACGCATGGGGCCAAATAACTACCACTCATGAATGTTCTCCAAGAAAGAAGAGGCTTTTTCACATGTGCACACTGGATCTTCTACATGCAACATTCACCATGTCACTAATTCTTTATCCTGCTCTGAGTGATTCCCTGTTTTGCTGCCATTTTGCAGCTACATCCTGAACCATTTCCATTACACATGTTAAGCTCCTAATTGCAGACACGACCTTAACCTTTATGTTTTCTTGCACTTTACCGAATAGACCACCCATGCCTGTCAGACTACTGCTGCTGCTGCAAATGAGCGAGTTAAACTGTGATGAGGTCATGTGACCAGGATCTACAGAACAAGGTTCAGCTTCCTCAACCCAATGTGTCAATATATTGATATAGACCTAGAAAGGTGAAGAACAAACATGCTCCAAAATCAATAACAGAACACCTGCTCTGTAGTACCAAAGCATATTTCTACCTAAGTATGAGCATGTGTGTGTGTGTGTGTGTGTGTCAGCCTTGGCATCCAGCACCTCGCGGTCACTGAAAGACATTCTTGCCCTGTGCCTTCGGTCTCTGTGGTCGCAGGGATTGCTGATTGTCCTGCAGGCAGACAGGAGGAGGAGAAGGAGGAGGACACACAGCTGCCCCATACGCACATAGAGCACACACACATTACTGACACTCCTGCCCACACACAGAGGGCGAGCCAGAGGGCAGCGTGTCAGGAGGCTGCAGGAGTGTAGGGGCCGAGCCAGGGCGACGCTGGAGCTCTGCCACTCACAGAGCGTCAATCTCAGTGCCAAGGAGCGGAGCAGAAAACAAGTCTGGACCCTCCCTCTCAATCTGGCCTGCTGCTCCTTCTCAGTCTGGGCCAGAATACTCCTGATTCCTAAGCGTCATCTCGAAAGTCCCAATTAATGTGTGTAAAAGGCAATGAAATTTGTTTATATATTTAGTTTGATTTTTCCAATCGAATCCACAAACTTGGTCTAAAATTCTTGTCATAGCAGACTAAGTCAACTTTTGTCCAGGGAATAACTGGATACATTATGGTTTACCGTTCAGCCACAAA